CAGGACGCGGGCCGTCACGGGCGAGGGGCGCGGCGGAAGTCCCGCCCCCGAGGGGGCCGCGGCGGAAGTCCCGCCCCCGAGAGGGTCGCGGCGGAAGCCCCGCCTCCGGGGGCGCGGCCCGAGTCCTGAGCGAGAAGGGTTGTGGGGTCTTCGGGCGGTCTCTTGGACGCGGCAGCCTCGGGGAGGGGGTCCCGTGGGGGGGCCGCGCTGGGGATGGAGAGAGCCCAGGATGGGGACTGCCCCCAGGGGAGGAGATGACAGACGGGCCCGGGGCAGAGGTTCCGGTTCGGGCGGAGTGCGGAGGGAAGAGGGGTCTGGGGGACCGGGACTCCCCTGAGCGGAAGGGGTGCCGGGCAGAGGGGGCTCCTGGGTGGGGAGGGGAGAGCCCGAGACGGAGGCTCCCCCAGGTGAGGGGCTTCGGGCAGAGCTGTCACCGGGGGAGGGGCGGTGCTGCTCGTAGTGCTCCCGCGGCGGGGAGGATGAGGCACCCGTGTGCGCCCAAGGGAAGGGCCTGAGACAGGCTGCTGGAAAGCAGAGGCCTCCCGGAGCAGGAGGAGCCGGATGGGCCAGCGCCCAGGCACTGACTTCCCCTGAAAAGACTGCAGACCCAGCTGCTGCCTTCTAAGTGGAGCTGTGTCCCCAAAGAGGAGCAGCCTGTCGCCAGCTGGCAAGTCTTGGGTCCTGAGAGCTCAGTGCGAGGTTCTTACTAGTCAGTACCAACTCACCCGCCAGGCACACGGTAGGATGAGAGTACGTCGCTCCTGCTCATCAGGCTTTCAAACACAGAAGTGAAAAAGCTAAATTCTACACCGTTAGGGTAAGGCTTGTGGGTTTGGTGTTTGTTTTGTTTGAGACAGCGTCTTGCCCTCTCAGGCTGGCCTTGAGTTCACTGTGTAGCCCAGGCTGGCCTCGAACTCCTGATTCTCCTCCTGCCTCAGCCTTCCCCCAAGCGCTGGGGTTACAGTCATGCGCCTCCACCGCCGCGTCCTGCCAGGCTTGTGTTTTTTCTGAGGGAGATGAATAGACTTTAGGAACCAGACAACGCTTCCACATATTTCCTCGAGCGAGCGGACTGGAGATGCATTCCTTCACCGAGAGTCTCTGCCAAGCCCTGTGCGGGTGCAGGAGATAAGAAGATCAGTAAGAGGTGGTTCCAACCCGGAAAGGTCTCGGACTGGAGAGGGAGGGAGGGAGGGAGGGAAGGAGGGAGAGAGAGAGGTAACGGAGTCCAGTTGACTGCCCTGATGCAGGAAGTATGGATACATATCTGGGGATGGATTAAAACGCGCAAACACACCCCCTACATTCCAGTTGAGGAGTAGGAGTGGGTTGACGTGGTGCTTACACTTCCACTGCTAAATAGAACTGTAAACACCGCAAACAGGAGACTGTACAGGAAAATGAGCTCTGAGCACTCAGGCTACTTGGTATTGTCACTGAGTCTTGCGCATCTCATTGATTGCGTGTTCATTCCCAAGTGCTTTTGGGTACTGGGTGCTGGGTCACCTCCAGTGTCAGGAGGACGGAAAAAGTTCAAGGATCCCACACCGGCAGAATAAAACCCTCTGGGTGTTTCCTGGAGGAGTGGTGAGTCGTCAGATACTGCTTGTTGTACATGGAGGTCTTGACCCTTAGATTTGTATCCTCGGTTGTAAAACAAAACCCCAAATCATCCAAAAAGCATTCCCCCTGCTATTATACCAAGATTAAATGGCCCAACAGCTCCAGCCCTTTCTGGCCCCCTTCCCCGCTGCACTGCAGGTCTTGGCTTCCTGAGCTCTAGATCTGCTTCAGCCTGGCAGGTAGCTTGGCCTGCAGGCACAACTTGCTGTGTAATGAGCATCCCTAGCTGATTTATTTCAGTGGGTAACACACCACCCAAACTTCTGAAGCACTGACACTTTCCTCCATAGCATTTAGCGTATGGTGTTTTTTTTTTTTTTTCCTATACTTGTGGGTTTTTTTTTAACTCATTTTATTTGTGTGTGTGTGTGTGTGTGTGTGTGTGTGTGTGACTGGCTCAGCCCACCCTGGGGGCAGGACTGGCACAGCATGTGGTGCTGGGGAATCAAACCTTGGTCCCTGCAGCTGCCTAAGCTTGCCTCAGCGGATGCTTTAGATCACTGAGCTATCTCACCAGCCCCTCTTTCCCATACTTCTTCTCTGTCCTGTTAATCTGTTTTGTTTGTTGTCATTTATCTTATTTTGTTACTGCTAGAATATAAGGGCCCAAAGGATAGAGATTCTGGTCTTTACGTTTATTTTTGTGTGTCCAGCTCATCACCTAGAAAAAGGCTAACTGTAAGGAAATGGCTCAAATATTAATTGAATTAGTGAGGAAATAATATTTTAGAAAAAATTTATTTTCAGAAGAGAGAAAGGCAAAGGCCATGTGTCCACCACCCAAGAAGTTCAGGAAAGAAGGAAGGAGGAGAGCCAGGTGTGGTGTAGATCACACCTGTGATCCCAGTGCTCTAGGAAGCTGAAGCGGGAGGATCAAAAGTTCTAGCAATTTGGCAGCTTAACAAGGCCCTAGCTCAGAAAGTAAAAGTACTGGTGACATACCTTAGTGGGAGAGCTCTGAGTTCAGTCTCCATACTGGGGGGAAAAGAAGGAAGAATGAGAGAAGAGAGAGAAATTAACAAAGCAGATTTTAAATATATATATGGGAAAGAGAAACAAAATGAAATGAAATTGGTCAGACAGTGGGTGTTTTGACCATCCAGAATTGACTAGAGGATTTCAACCTTGACTGAAGTAATGGAACTAAGTTAATATTTTACCTAGGTTAAATGGCATCTTTTAAGGTTATGTAACTATTTGCCTTAGATAAACCAGATAAACATGCCACCGGGTTGATGTACATGGCTTCCCCTTAGATAAAATCTGAGAAATAATTTATGTCTTGAGCCCACTACAGAAGAACTGAATCAGCAATTTTCAGTAATTGTTTTAAAAAGTAAACTGCTGGGTGTGGTGCGCACACCTGTAAACCCAGCGCTCTGGGAAGCTGAGGCAGGAGGGTCACATTCAAGCCCAGCCTGCGGAACCCAGCAACCTAATGAGACCCTGTCTTAAAAAGGGTTAAGAATGCAGCCCATAGTGAAGGTCCCGAGCTCCAGTATCACAAGTGAAAAGTAAAGTAAATAGAAGAAAGGGGAAGAACAAAAAGATGAGCCACAAGGCAAAACCAATTTGAGCCAAAGTGCAGATGGTCAGTCAGAAGGAGGCCAGGAGGAAGGGAGTGAAGGCGGAGGGAAGGTGAGCAGCGTAGTAAGCGGGAGGGTTCTTGCTTGTGCTGCTCCTGTACCTGAAGTTTCCTTAGCATCTCTGCGTACGGTTCTGTCCCTGGAAAGCTTTATCGCCACCTAATGTGTCATCAGGAGCAGCTCCAGTCTATCTTGTAGAGCTTAGGTGTGAAATGTCCCCCCAGTGTCCCATGTGCTCATAGCTGGGACTTCTGGAAGGTGATTGGATCATGAAGCATTTTACCCATCCGTGGATGCATCCATTGGTGAGTTCGTGGCCGGCTGCACTGTTGGGCCACGGGGCCTGGGTGGAGGCGGTTACTGGGTGTGTGACCCGGGCGGGTGTTCTCTTGGCTCTGGCCCCTTCTGCCCTGCCTGCTCCCCGGCTGCCATCCTCCGCCAGGCCCTTCCACTGTACTGTCTGCCTTGGAGCAGCTGACCATGGACTGGACCCATAAGTGTTTCACCAAGTGAGCAGAAAGTGACATCTTTGACTTTCATACTCGGCCTTGTGCTACTGTTGCCCACTATGAGGATCCCTTGCTCTTTATCAAAAGCATCAGGCAGAAATACCTTGACCCAGAAGTAGGCTTTTATTGTTGTGCTGGATTAAAAGAGAGAATGCTGTGGAGTCCTAAGGTGACCCAAGCAAAGGACAAACACGTATAAGACAGTTCACTTTTGAATGCCCAGTTCCCTGGTACATAACTCTGTAAGTTTGAGTCCTAGTTTAGCTATCTCACTGCAGACCTGCTTATGTACCTGTCTTACACATCTGAAGTCTTTCGAAGAAGAGATGTGGTCTTCCTCCCCTCAGCCTTGTGTTTGGAACCCATGCTGTAAGAATGTGTTGAACTGAACACTTTGGAGATCAAGAAAGAAGGAGAAAAAGATAACAGTATAATTGTTCAGGGTAGGGCTCGGCAGAGTACAACCTGAGAACCGACTATTTTCCTCCACTTATTTTCATAAAGTTGCACTGAATGCTGTCACTGCCACTCATTTACATATTACCCGTGGCTACTTCAGCACGGCAGTGGGCCAATCCAGTAGTTACCATGGAGACTGGATGGCTACAAAGTGTGTGAAGTCCTCAGCCCTTTGCAGAAGAGGTTTGCAGGCCCTGGGAAAGAACCTGAGCCCAGGGCCAGGATGCAGCCGGGCGGAGCGGCGCTGGCCCAGCATGCGTGGAGCCCTGGGTTGGACCCTGGGAACCACATAAAACCATGAGCTCTGCCAAAAAGAGGGAGACGTGGATAATGTGAGTCCGACGTTGGCATCTCAAGAGCTGGCCTCACGCTATCTCATCGAGCTTATAAAAAGCAGAGCTCTCTTTAGCACCTTTCCATGCATAAACTGGAATAGCAATAGCGGCGGGCTGTTGGGAGGAGCCAGTGAGCTAGGCCGCGTCAGTCCAGTGTTCATCAAAGACTCAGCTTTGCTCGGGAAGTGTTAACAACTGTGTAGTGCAGGCTGGAGAGACCCACAGAGAGGACAAATAAGCTGCACGATGGCGTGAAAGAAATTATCCAACATAAAGAAATAAAAACGCAGAAAGGCGGAGAACAGGCTGGGAAGGTCTCCTGTGTCTCTGGAGTCTGACAGAGACAGAGAAATAGGACAGAGTAATGCAGGATTCCAGACCA